GACTTTGTGTTAGGAAAATTTCTTCACCTAAAGAGTTGTCAAGAATTGGAACAGGCTGCCCAGGGAAATGGTTGAGTCATCATGCCTGGAGGTATTTAAAAGATGTGCAGATGTGGTATTTTGGGACATGATTTAGTGGTGAATTTGGCAGTGTTATCTTAATGGTTGGACTGGGTCTTAAAGGTCTTTTCCAATCTAAATGATTCTATGGGGTTTTTTTAAGTGTTTTTGTGTGTGCATTAGGGCAGGGATTACAATCCAAAGTGCCTGAAATAATGTGAGACTTGTGCTTAAGTCTAGTAGAGTGGTATTTTCATAGCTGAAGTCATGCAGAGAAGTAGCAACTAAGCCCTATGGATAATCAGCAACTCACTGCATTAGCTTCCCATGCCTTTTTTGTTAAGGACTATAGACATAGAGTTTATCGCTACACTGGACACTACAAGAGGCTGTTCTTTGGCCTTTAGGCCAAACAGCATGATTGGCCACAGCAAATACCTGTATTAGCACTAGTAGTAGTACTGCTACTCTAGCTTTCAGAAAGAAATGCAGGTGGGCCTACCAAGACAAGCCTCTGTCCTCTGCTTAAATTTTAAGGAGTTCTATAATGTTTGGACCAAATTCATACCTGGAAATAGTCTAACAACTTAACCTATTCCCAGTTCTTGCTCTGAGCACTATTCAAATAGTATGTGCATAGTCTAAGTTGCTACATTCTTTAAAATGCAGTTCTAAATTAGTAACACTAGAAGGTAATACCTGAAAACAATTAGAGACTATGTGGGAGCACAGATAATTTTGATGAAAGGACTGGCCCTACTTGCATTCTAAGGAATAGTACATTGACGACAGACAACACAAAGAGAATAAAAAGAAAATATATAGGCCAGTAGTAGTTCAAAATTATTATTTAGTCTATCTTACATGCATTCTCATAGAGATCACAGAGCGTTTCACTAAAACTGATTTAAAGGGGAAACCCATGGAAACTTACATATTACATTGCAATTATTATTATGAACATGTGTTGATTTCAGAATGTAAAGACATTTCTAAAACAGTTAAATACTTTAGTGAATAAGCTATAGTCCAAAACTCATATTATCATAATTTTAATTTCTCAACTTCAGATTTTTTTTTTTTTTTTTTTAATACAAGTTATACGTATAGAAATAGTAAAAATAGCCTCAGGGACTGAGAAACTCTGAATTCACTGATGGGACAAGGGAAATGTTAAGAAAACAGTACACACCGTTACAAGATGGCAATGCTCTGTTCCACGCTGGCTTTCCATCTGCACCAATTACACACGTTATAGTTGAAGGATCAATAATTTTATATCCAGAATCACACTGGTAAGTAATAGTTGAACCAAGCTTAAAGTCTGTTCCCATTCTAGTCCCATTCATGATGTTTCCAGGATCAAAACACGCTTCCCGCGGCTTTTCTGTTAAAATAAAGTAAATCTATATACACTTACTTTCAATTAAAAAAAAAAAAGAACAATTATATTTTTTTTTTCTAGTCAGTTTACATTTTTCATCAGCTTATTAAGGTATTTTTCTTGTTTCTGTATGTTTACTGCAAGATCATGAATCTTTGCATTAGACTGGTTGTCTGGGCAAGGGAAGTATGCTGAGACAATCTAAACGACAGCATTTTCTTCCTAACTTTTGTAAGTAGAACTCTCCAAAAGCTGAATGACTCCAATGAAGTTTAGTAGTGTAGAAGAAAAACTAACATTTCTAGAGTTCACCACTTATCACTACTGTGGTTTATAAACAAATATCATGCTGAGTAGTCAATAATGTCTGGTTAGAAAGCTACCATACTATGGAATAATTTAAACATTAAAAATTTATTGTTCCTTTATGATTCATATTTAAGAAAATCCAATAATAAATGGAGCTTGAAAGCTGAAAAACTAAGCACAAGAGTTACTTTTTGGCATGAGCTAATAAGTACAAAATCTTTAAGTCAAAGAGAGTATAGGCATTGATCTTAACAAGACTAGGATTTCATTCACCATCTTTGGCATGTTGAAATACAAAGAAAAAGAATGGGAAAAATAATTTATATTACAAATTATTTTATTTCAAGAAAAAGACTGAGATGATCTTGAAATAGGAAGGCTTTAGGCACTGAACATTCTTTATAATTAAATAAATTACTATACTGTTGATAACTATACAATGTTTTTCCTACAAAAGGCTTAAACACAAATCAGTCCATTTAAAATATATGAAAATATCGTGTAATATTACTTCTATAAACAATATTTTGCTAAATATGTGAACTCTTCATAATGGAAGGATGCAGGAGGCCAAGATTCTTTTATTAAAAAATACCAGAAGTAAAATTCATAGTCAAAGGTCACAGCAGCCTCCTTCCCTTATTAAATGTTAAGGAAGCACGTATTTTAATGAAATACTCAAGGAATATGATCCAAAAGCAAAAATAGATGTCCATAATCAGTAGAGTATATATATCAAATATTATATAATATACTTAATAAAATACTGTACACTACTAAGCACAAAAGCACTGCTAATTTAATATAATAACTTTTTAAAGTATGCTTTTCTGCTCTTATATGTTATAATTTAATTTTCATATTATTTCATTTAACTTCCAGTTGCATAGAGGCACACATATCAAACTATGTTGAGAATAGAATATACAGAGACAGCGTAAATGTGTATGCACATTTTTAACAGGCATCTGTATCTCTACCTCCTTCTGCTCAACTTGTCATTCTCTTTCCTTGCAGGCCAGCAAGACTTCCTGGAATAAACGGTTTTCTCATTTTATTTATATTTTGTTTCAAGTTTAGATGGGAACAAACAGAGTAAGATTTTATCATTGGCAATATGAGAATTACTTTGGGAAGAAAAGCCTTGCCAACATGGAGAATAATGCAAAATGCTGGATGAAAGATGAAGACTAAATATAAAAATGATTTTATAGTTCTTTTTAACCTCCCACTCTTTTATTGGTATGTTATTTCCATATCTGTTAGGTATTTTTGTTCCTTCATTTTTGACATGTACGTTAATGTGGTTTGCTTCCATTGTCAAGAATAAGAAGCTGAGACAGCCACTCTGCTAATGAAAAACATCTGATAAATCGCAGCAGAGATGATAATCAAGCCAGAGACAGCATCTGCGACCAGAAAACAAACCAGCATTTGAAGTGAGTGTGTGGCTTTAATAAACAGTCAGCATAACCCTTTCTCTGGCTAGTAATACATACTCCCCCCAAACTGCCAATATTGTCCTGCAGTAATTATTCAAAAATGCATATGTAGATTCAACAATTTTGTGGAAACAAAACAGTGTTTGTATGTATCAGCAAGGAAGCATCAGCAGTCATGTATTCTAATTGGGTAAGACAATTCCATTATTCTACAACTCTTTTCCAAATGCTATTTTCGATTTGCATCTCTACATTTTTATTTTTTTCTGGAAGGTGAAAATGTGCATAAGTTATATGAAAGAGATTTCATGAAAGAGGATTTCTGTGTTCCTCCACACATTAACAGAAAATAGTTTTTAAAACCTACATCAATGCAAAGCGATATTTGGCAGTTCACTATGAGTACATCCGGAATTAAACAGATTTGAGTCTCAATAAATAATGAATAACATTCCTTTCCCTTTATGTTTCCAAAGATTATGGTGTGAACAGTACCTTTATAGTCAATGGCAAATCCTGACATTCCAACAGAAGCATCACTGCGAAAAGCCAGAAACAGACTGTTACCACTGCTCTCTATTCTTTCAGGAGCCTGTGAGCCTTGAAAACTGCCAATTAGAGGACTGTTGGAATCTTCTCCTTCATAAATATGTAGAAAATCATAACTAGGTTCCATATTGAAGCTGAAAATAAAGGAAAAAGAGAATTAAGTAATTTCTTTTTCATGAGTTAAACCCTACTGTGACTGTGGCTGCCAGCATTCTGCCTAACGCATTTTCTTCTCTAGAAATAAAAGTATTTTTAAATGTTGTTCACAGTGAAAATTTACTAATTTTCAAGGTAATTTCTTTAACATTGATTTGAACACCTTCAGCTTTCCAAGCTTTCCAGAAGATCTACTATCAGGCCATGAAGAAGGCTCAGTCTACAGTCAGTGAAAAAGAAACATATCCTCTCACCTATCTTAAATACTTTTCTCAAGATGGAATGAATCACCTGCTGCAGAAAAGCTGCCTCTTACCAGTGACCACAGGAATGATCCAATTAGCTTAAGATAAAGGTCCAGATTTATTTGGCTAAACTGAATGATATTAAATCCACCCTATACAAACATAAATTCACCATTATAGAAACAAGATGCTTTCATATGGAAAGACCACCATCCTGGAACTTACTTTTGTTCATACACAAGTTATATCAGAGATTTGTGATACATATCAGTGTGTATTACTGGACTGCAATTATTTATAAAATGTACAGAAATTATAGCATAAACAGCAATTTCCATTATATCGCTCATACTTGTATTCCTTAAAATAGAATACACAAACAAACCTGAATACTGAGTAACTACAATTTTCTTTTGTCTTACTTGAAATGGAGCATTTGAGCTGATTAGTTAGGCAGTCCACAGAAATATGCAGCTTATCATAACTATTGTGACATTTTCAAGAGTGCAATTAGTGGAGAACGGTTCTCATCCCCTAATACTATTTGATCAAATACCTGAAGAACAAAGTTATCATATTCTTGATTATATAATTTCAAGTGCCTTAGGGTTTGACACTTTAATTTCTTGTGTATCAATAAATTATAAACCAAATTGCAGTCAGTCAACAAATTGAGGTGGGATTTTGTTGGTTTTTTTTTTTAAATTATTATTTATTTTTTTCATAAAAGGGTACAAATATCAAACCTCGAAATTCTGGATATGTCATCATATATACCTAAACAAATCAGAATTGATCACCATTTTACTGAAGGCCACAGAAATGTTACCAGTCCTAGCTTAAAAATCACACTTTGGACAGAGTCAAAAAAAAAAAGAAAACCAAAAATATTTGCATTTACCTCCATAGATATAGCAAACAAGATGATTAAATAGGCCTGATTCAAACTGAAATGATAAACTGAACACATGAATATGACTGTATCCCTGAACTTCAATTTGTATTAAAAATCGATGCAGCAAATATAGGTTGATGATGGAACACTGAGTAAATAAAACATTATCTAGATATCTTTTGTCTTTACTGAGTAGATTTTTTTTTTCCTGATCTATTCACTCCAAGCAAAGTGTATTTAGCCTGTATTTGTAAAAACCTTTAAGACCTGAGTTTCAGATGGAGTTTCCACTAGAGTTCAAGTCTCTGCTGTAAGGTAAAACAATGTAAATCAGCATTTCTACAAACTGACTTTTTTTTTCCCAAAGATTTTCATTTCAAAGATCACATAGAGTTTTCTTGCTCAGGAACACAAAAAGTGATATATAACTATATTATATTTCTTTTACATTATTTGGAAGCAATAATAAAGCATGTTAGAGGTATGCTTCAGGATTCAGCCAGAGAATATAGTTAGAAGCATGAAGAAGTGATAAATGATGCCATTTTAAATGTGACATTTAAAATCCTTTTAAACAGAAGCATTCATCTGGAAATGGTACCTTTTGAATATCAAGGCAATGACAAAGTCAGGGTTTACTTTTATTCTCCAGTCACATTCTTTCCCAGGAGGATAAGGCTGTGGATAGTTGGGTGATAAAATAACTCCTGCTGGGCCTGTCAAGTTTCCTCCACATGCAGCTGTCACAATATAAAAAGAAAAAAGAATATGGTCACATAATAAATGCAAAAGCATGTATTAGCTTTTAAATACGAGTAAACTGACTTCCACTTCTACCAAAAATAATAATAATTAAAAAAAAAACCCAAACAAATCTACAACTTTCCCACTTCCAGCCAGCAAACATTTTTGTATTTTCATTTAAAAAGTGAGCTCTGTTTGTCTTCAAAAGAAGCATGACAGATGCTCTTTCTAAGGAAATAAAAATACGAAGGTAAATAGGAAGTCCTATATACTCTTGCTGTTACTTAATCCCATCTCTGTCAAGCTGAATATTCCTTCCATACTGCAAGTACTTTAAGAACCGAGAAAGCTGAATAGCAGGATTCAGGATGCAGTTTCTGTTGACCGTAGATGTAAAACAAAACAGTTTGTTTCACTCAGTAAACATATTACCCAAATCAAAACCCAAATGCATTCATTTAGTTACCATAAACTGAATGTTACGTATACACAGATAAGGAATCCAGCTTCCAAAGATAATAATCATATGGAAGTCTTACCTAAAAAATACAGTAGTTAATATGGGCTGCATCTACTTTACCAAGTCATGCAGACTAATAGGAACACACTTGTAGTGCAAAACAATTGGTACTAAGGATTTGGAATTTGCATTAAACATTCTAAAGAAGGATTTTTTTCATGCCATTTCTAGTCTAGTCCAATGGACTGTACATTAAGTACATTAAGATGCACTCACAGAACACATTTTGCAGTTTAGTTACATACAAAACTTACAAGAAAATTGATAATTATTAACTAAATCATGAGTAAAATGTACTTGGAAATAATGCTCATAACCCAAGCGAAAATAATAATGAAGATATTCCCCTCGTGGTAGTTATGAAAACAAACTAAACTTTTATTTCCTCCCTCTGTAATTTATTTATTTGATTGTTTATTTAAACAATTAGTATAGTCATGTTTTCTTCTGTATATATGTTTGGTACTTTAGTCGTTACTTTTGACACAGATTGTGATTTGGTTTGTGTGTGTTTCCCCCCACTCCCTTTAATTTTATTTCTTTTTTGGTTTATTCAAGGATAATGGCTCCAGGAAATGTTTCATATGTTCCCTGTGTGTACTGATGACTCAGTCTAAGATAACCACGATCAAAGTTCTAAAGTACAAATAGAGCAGAAAACATGAAACAATCAGGAATGGAGCAGCACAGTGTTCTGAGTACCGAGAAGTACAGTTATTAAATGTAAATAATTTTTCATTTATAAGTCAGCATACTGAAATAAGAACTTCATGATAATTTTGAAAATGACATATAATGGCTTTACAGAACCCTTAAGGTTTCTAATAATGACATGTCTACAGTAAGTATTACTTTAATCTGTTTTCCCCTTCAAAGTCACCTTGAGTATATGAAGGAATAACAATATGTATATACTTGTTACCCAAAGGTAATATCTCTTTCTTTCCTTCTTTATTTCATGTTTGTTTGTTTAGTTGGGGTTTTGTTTGTTTGGTTGGTTGGTTTGGGATTTTTTTTTTTTAATAGACTTTAAAGAAATATGGAATTTACAGAAAGACTATGAATCTTCTAGACCATTGGGCACCAGATTTTTTTTTAATTTAAGTATTTTAAAAAATTTTTATAATCCCAATATGTTTAATAAACATTTTCATACTACTATTTATCCATTGCACAAAAGTTATCCAGAAGACAATGTTGAGATCATATGCTGCTCCAATTCTGCTCGATGATATGGAGTTAGAGACACTATCTAGTGGAGGGTGTCCCTGCCCATGGCAGGGGGCTTGGGACTAGATGACTTTTAAGATCCCTTCCAACCCAAACCGTTCTATGATTCTACAATTATATGAATCTATCCTCCATTATCCTGCATTCTTCGCAGTATTTTTGAGATACCCGTAAACACTTTAGAGAAACAGAGGGACTGCAATTGTTTGGGGATTTGCTGTTTTAGAAAGAGCCTCTAAAATGTCTTGTAGAAAGAAAAAAAACATTATGCATATCCTAGTGTTATTAAAACATATTGCATGTTTTTTATGATCATCAAGTCTTCATTTAATTACAAATCAACAGGCAACAAAATCATAAAGATTTAAAAAATTACATATCTAGGACATATTTTTTCACAGATGTTGATTAATCTTAGAAGAGCTTCACTAATGACCTAAAACACATTTCATCAAGACTTCTAAGCCTGCAATTCTTAGTCTACTGAGCAGAACCTCAGAGAAACCTTTATGCCATATAGGACTATGGAATCAAGAACCAAAACTTGTTCCAAATAATGAAGGTCTCCCACTACCTCCTGGTGTTATGGACATATATATAATTTCTTTCAAAAGCATTGTCACTTGGACCCCCTTCTCTGCATCTACCTTTCTCAACAAGCATCCTGCTTAAGAAGAAATATCTTTAGCTTCCTAGGGATTGCAGAGAATAGGTATTTAATCTATAAGAGAATTAAGAAAATTTTCAGAATAAATAATGTATCATTCATTATGTAAATTATTACATACAAGACCTATAATGAGACCATTTCAACAAGAACATTTTTTTAAATCTAAATCTTCTATTTCATTTAATTATTTTTATTAGGCTTTCTCAATATTAGACTTGTATGAAGTTTAAATTATAGAATAGAACAGAACAGAATAGAAGTGAGAAAATTACATCCAAAACCAGTGTTAATCTTGAGAATAAGGCTGTCAGTAACTGTAAGTACAAAGTAATTGAGTTCTGCAAAGACCATTACTCCAGTATGAGCATTATATGTCCACTAGTTGAACAAGAAATCTGATCTTTATTAATCTTAAAGAGAGGGTAACATTTCATCTTATTACCTATGCATGTAGGGGGATCAGGTTTCCAGAAGAATCGGTTATTCAGTTGCACACATGTAATTTTCGCCTGTCCTTGAAGTTGATAGCCAGGGTCACACTGAAAGGTCGTAGTGTCTCCAGGCTCTCTGCTGTCTCCATATCTAGTGCCATTCTGTGGTGTCCCAGGATCATTACAGGTTGATGCAATAGAAGCTGTAAAGGAATGATGAAATAAAAACTTTAAGGTGTACATACTAAATATCGATAATTAAAAGCATAATATTTTTACATGAGCATTCCAACCAGAGGCAGTATTATTTACTCATAAGTTAATATAAGAAGGTATGTTGTTTCTTTACTTTTATGAGAATCTGCCTACTGAGATACATCATGATTATGTTGACTTCCTGCCAGTTTCCTTAGTATAAAACACGGCCTGAGAGGAAATAAACACAAGCTTGTTTTTTTTAATTTTCTCTTTTGGTCCAGTTAGTGCAACAAAAGTGCTAGTAACTCCTTTTCTCACTCCAATGTTCTGGTTATCAAAACAAATTTCTTTATGCACTTTCATGCCTTTTGCGCAATAGAGTAAGTCTCATAATAAAAATAATGTTGTATTATAGTCTTTAATATCCTCCAGCATGCAAATGCTATGTTTACAAAGCTGGCTGAATCAAATGGAGCAGTTTTATGTAGCCCTGAAGTTTCTGTTTCAAGAGCGAGAAACAACTTTCTTAGAGTACTCTCAAACTGAATCTAAACAAAACAGCTCACCTATGTTCAGTCTCCCAAGTTTGGATATGGATTCTGCTTTGTAAAAAAATAAATAATTTTTAAAAGCAATTTTAGTTTGAGCAAACAATCTACGGTATGACTTAAAGCAAGTAATCATCCAGAAAGTGGATACAGAGATTTACATCCACTATAGATTTGTGGAAGATTGCAGGTTTCTTCTACTGGTTTCACATATTCAACATCCCAAGTTGCAATAAACATTGCAGTCTTTCCAAGGAAAGAAAGTCCTGTTTCTGGAGGCTACTGTACCTAGAGCACTGAATTGCACTCTGTTTCCTACCACTCTACGTTCCTCCACCGAAACATGTTCTTTTTCAAGAACTTACCACAACAGTTAGCAAAAGCAAAAATAAAAATTCATAAACCTAATATCATAATCACCATTACTATTAGTATCTACAATAAATCCCTCTATCACTTTAATCATCTTCATTGAACCAAATTTAAACTTGAATCCAGACCAGACTTCTTAAAAAAACAGCTACACTGAACCCTTCTGCTCATCTCTGGTACTGCAAGGAATAATCCTTGAAAAATAAGAACTATCTATATTAAATTACTGTATTTTAATAGAATATGAACCATGTATACTTTCTTATGTCCTCACACATCAGACAAATCATTCATTCTTAAAGTGTTTTATAATGATCTCAAGTCTAAATCTGACGTCTTTTCAAGTTGTAATTCTGCTCCAATGTCTGCAAAACATGACCAGACAAATGAGGAGCATTCAGAGAAAAACTGAAGTAATTTATTAAAAGCATATATGCCATTGTTAAAACTGTTTTTCACCAATTTGTTAGCTGATGAAATAATGTTATTGTTACTTATCATATTTGCCTATGCCATTCTTCAATATTTTCTGGGAAACCAGTGACCATATCATTCTGTATTTTGACCAGTACAAGAACTTGGGTTTTAGGATAGCATTACAAATTACAGGCCAAAACCCACTGAGAACACAGAACATTATTTCTTTATGCTTGATAATCACTTTCTACTTTTTAAATACTAGGGCACAGTCTTTTCCTTACCTCCTATAAGTGAAGTGTGCTAGTGGTAACAGCTCATCCTCCTTGCCCTATTTTTTTAGGCGTTTCGGCTTTTTTTCCCCCCCCTCTTTTTTTTTTTTTTTGTTTTTGTTTCAACACCAGGGACCATTAATATTTCATTAAAATTATTTTGTTAGCTCATTTCAGATGGTAAAACCCAAAAGCTTTCATAGGCTAGAAGAGCTCCATCACTACCACCACTATGCAACCTCTGTGACCATAATGTGGAGGTAATTCATTTTAAGTACTAATAATTGCATCTACTCCTTCCATCTACACCAAAAGAGTATACCACTATAAGAAACAGCAAGAGCAACTAAACATTTGCGGAATTCAAAGAGTTACCAAGTTGTACAACTGGAATACAAAAAGGTTTAAAAAAGAATGAGCAAAATGAGAAGGAAGTATTTTAGAATAGTAAAACGGTTTTATGTATGTTCTAGCAAACAGATGGTCAGTTAGACAAATCACTGAAACTGTAAAACATCTCTGTATAAGAATTCATGGGTTATAATAATTAACACACTACAAACACAGGAATTTTGATTAACGTTTTATTATTCATAAGTTTTTGACCTTGTTTCCATTCCAAAATAAAACATCTCATACCTTGGGATGATTCCTATATCTAAATGAAGTAAAAGACACGGCGGGTTTTTAACAGTGGTGGACTATTTTCCACCAGAATTTATAAGCATCAATCCAAGAATTAAAGCAATGGCTGTCATTACTAATGAGTACTGTGTAAGCACTCCCCAGGCACCAATCTGACAATTTACCTGACATAACATATTAGTGCAGTTTACTAAGTGTATACTTGGCCACAGGGGAAGGAAACCATGATCATGACCTCCGAGAAGTTATTTCTTATTTGACAGACAATAACAGCTCTGAAAAAATCTATCACTATAGTCCCTATCTGTTAAAGAATCATAATTGTTCCAAGTATATGAACATAAGCCCATCTCTGTCATAAATTATCTTTTTTCATCAAATCTCAGAGTATCTTCAATTAACATAATAAGCAACAGAATATTTTCTGAAACAACATTTTACTGAGTTTTACTGTGTCAAGCATGCACCAATTGCAAAGGACTGATGCCTCTTAATATTAATTTCACTGGTATCTCTATTACTTATGAACAAAGTTTTAAATGTTAAAAATAATCACAGATCTTTAATAAGCACCAAAATGTTCTGTACACTTTTGTTCTTGGAGCCAGAGAAGTTATGTTATGTATTTGAAACTAAAACCATTTTAACATGCCAAATATACTTGATCCTAAATAAACACAACAACAGCCATTTAAGCACTGATGTGTCATCTAGTAAAGTGAACGTTTACACAGTCAACTTGTCTCCGTTCCAACTTGTTTTATTTCTCAAGATCCCCAAGAGATTCTGTAACTGCATGAAAATAAAGTCTACTATTTCTTAGTGTTATATGCATTGATAAGTAATCCAGACATCAAAAATCACCAGTTCTTCTGTCACTGCCCTTATAACAGGCTCTTTTCTTCTCAGCCTTTAACTAATATATAGACATGCATTTAATATCCAGCCTACATATTTATGAAAAAGAGCATGTTCATGCTGTGATATAACACTGCCTTACACAATGAAAAAAAGCCATATGATGAATTCAGAAACTTGAAGCTGAACACAATTAAAACATAGATTCTGTAAAGCAGGGGAAGCTGGAACTACATTTTACACTCAAGGACACAACATCAAACCAAATCCCATAGCTAAACTTTTTAGAAATTAACTAAATCACTGATTCTCAGTTCTTACACATGTTCTAGGCAGTAAGGTATGTGATATTTACTGGATGATAGAGTAACACTCTGTACAGATTTTCCATCTCTTACTGTCTCATCTGCCTAGAGTGGAACAGGCTTCTGTGTACACAAAAGATTGAACTAGATGTAGGTGCCAGAAGAATGGGCAGGTGGGAAAACCACAGATTGCTAGGGAGTTTTCTGACCTCCAAACATTGGGCAGATGCTGTATTAAGACTCTCTGGTTTTAATTTCATAGTCTTCCAGAATCCTATTTAGATCCTAATTTGGATTTGGCATTCAAATTACATTTTCAAAGTTCATTCAAAATTTCACTGAAAACCAATAGGAGACTGGGTTTGAGAATATGACACACTGTATATTTGTGTGTCTGTAGCCTTGTGAGCAATATGTTAGATTTGTACCTAATTTATCTTTTACCTCAAGGACACTTCTTTTTTTCATCAGTCAGTTTAGCCTGTAATCTATTGTGACTCAAGAAAAAAAAACAACACATCACCTTCATCAATATAATTTTCACTATGTCTATGATAAACAAGCACGTAAGCCATTTGCTGCATTGTTCCACTATCCACTATTTTTGCTGCTCCACACGGTTATAAAAATAATAACAACTAAGCTATGCACAAGCTTTCCCTGTTTAGTGCAATGCACTTGCATAACAGGTTTGAGAAACATTTTGCCATATCAAAGCTGAGACACTGTAGATAGGATCTGCAGTGATTTCAGACTAACAAACATTTCCAAATGTAAATGCATGGTGTTTGCTCTCTAAAAAGTATCTCATATGATGTATGTAAACAGACTAAGAACTGGGCAAATTAGCTTCAAACACATATTTAAATGTCTTGAATTTTCCAAGAATATGAAGAAAAAAAAGAAATCCAAATTCCAAGGTAGCCTTTTTCATTAAGCCTGAAGTAGAAAGCTTACAAGCTTAGAGAAAAACATCACAGAAACCTACAAGCTTAATTTCTGCTTAGTTCCACAGGAACCAAATGAAGAGCTGCTACGCAATATGAGACTCAGGATGCCTTGTCCAGGCCATGGATTAGATGATGGATAAGAATGCTACGACACAGTTTCATTAACATGAAACTGAACTATTTTGAGCATGCAACACAACATTTATAGCATCACAAAAAGCAAGAGAAGAGACTCAACTGTGAAATGATTAGGTTACAGACTTCAAAAAAGGAATCTTGAATTCTTGTCTTGTGCCCTTTTATTTATTTTAACAATGGATGTCTTAATAGATTTAATTTGAACTCAAAATTTAGTTAGTAAGGCAGATATGTGATTGTGCATGTGTAAATATCTTTTAAAATACATCTTTGTGCTAACTCTTTTTACTTGATAATTTAATTGTGAATCAAACTGGAACAATTGCATGAATCTTAGCAATGAAGATTCTGTCATGAAAATGTTTATACTACTTAAAGGTAGTAGCTCAGGCCATTAGGCAAGTCATTAAAACATATCTCAGCAATAAAAGAACAATTTACAAGACAACAGTACTCTAACAGTTCAAGAAAGGTGACAGTTAGTGTAAGAATTGCTGGAGACAAACAAACCATCAAATGGAATTACAAAACTGGGCAGAAGCAGGCATCATTGCTTAAACAGATTTGTCAGATTAAGCCTAATGCTATTAAGAACTATAAAACACAGAACTGATGATGCTTAAGCTCTTGTCAGAGCAAGTAAGATATCAACAGATGTGTCATCAGCAAACACAATAATTTCCAAATAATTGTTCTAATTAACTGGTTGGTATAAGTTGTGTATTTTTATTATCATAATTGATGACTTGTGTTGTTAAAGACTTAGGCATCTTGCTGATGTCCTTGCTTTTATCTGCATTTTCTTCATGAGCAATTTTTAAAATATTGGTAGATCAAACTAACAACAAAAATCCCAAAATTGGACTAACCCAAGTATACATATGACTTTATTTCATGTCTTGTCTTTTAATAAGTGTCTGAAGTTCTTCTAATAAGATAGGAATATTACAAAGAAATTGAGAAAAAACTTTGCTACTTTAGAAACTTTTTGACAGTTCACATGAAAGCACAGATAGGTGTATTTTTAATTAAAGTGCATGCTTACAGAATACTATGACTAAGAGAAATTAATAATCCATAGAACCAGAGGAACTCATAGAAAATGATCAAAGATGAGTTTGATTCTAGAAAAGCCAAGGATTTCCAACATTTTTTCCCTTGTAAGAAGAGTGTGAATAATCCTTTAATGCATACATCCTTGAGGAGCCAAATCTATGAAACCAGCTGAGGAACTATGAATGTAATATTTAGTTTAAGAAAAGGATACAGTTCTCTTAAGTTATATCAGCTGAGAATTTAGTTCAAGAAAAAAGGCTAGACTGTAAGGGTAGAAGTATTAGGCATTATTAGAATAAGGTTGACTAAGTCTGTGAGAATGATAATATGACTAGCAAATGCCAGTGCTGTTCCCTTATATACAACTTCTATTGATTTTGTTAAATATCAAATAAACAAATTATTTGGTTAGATATAAACAAGCGCTTAAAATAAGCTTCAGGTCAATCAGAGCAATGAACCATCCATGAGCATAGGACCCAAGTACTTTCAGAAGTCTAGTCTAGCCGAAGATTAGACACTGAGGGCAAGATTGATCTGCTTCAACATAGATGGCTAGTCTCATTTGAGATGCCTTACATTATCTGAGGTATCTGAACAGGACTGGAAGATATTACCAAGGACTTACGGGCGTGGGACCTTCTGGAGTGGCAGATTGAGACTAGTCAGAATTGTTTATGGCATCTAGGGAACTAGACACCTGTGAAAAGACAGGTAGGATTCATTTCACATGCCCTTAGATGTCCAGATGTTTTGAGATTTAGTGTATGTTATTATAGCTGATAAAAAGAAAAAGGCAACTTCGGAGGGAGATTTATCCCATTTACCTTAGACACATAGGACAGAATTCAGCTAGGTCAGAAAACCTCTTTCTTATGGTTTACTTAGTCAGGAAGTTTTTGCTGCCAATAAGTTTGTTTCTTTGGAATAAGGAAGCCAAATACCAAATTTGCATATACCCTTCTGTGTTCACTTTTTTATCGTGACCAGAAAGAGTTGGTTGACATCCCTGGCTTGTAATACATAGTTTAAATGTATTTAACCCCCAGAGTAAAGGTCAATTTTGTACACTGAACTCAATTTTTTGTCTCTTTATGCATGATTAAATGGTAATTAAGTTTTAATGAAAAGCATTAGACTGATTACAATTAACATAATCACTCTTGTCAGTTTGTGTCCTCATACTTTACATGCTGAGCGGAGTGGGCAAGACAAGGCACTTTTAATAGTGTTCAAACATTTTGTAAGCTTCAGCCATTTATATTTTTCCATTAAAAATACCTCTAATTACATTTACAATCAACAGTAAGCAATTTATTGGTGATATTTTCTGATCTACCTCATATTACCCTTTCACAGCACCTCTTATTTTAGGCAGATGCAGTAAGGATATTGTAGAGTGCAAAGTATTGAAAGTAATCAGCACATTCACAGCACAAGGAAACAAATTCTCCAGCTGAAGGTTAACACTTTAATGCTTTGTTTTTAAGCTGTTCAGTTGACCAGATACTCTCAGATATATATCCTTCATATGATTCCATTAATTCACTGATGTAGATACTCATCCCAATTGTATAATTCAGTACATAAATTGCATGTGTAAGAGCTCCAGGTTATTAAAGATTATTTTCAATCCTGTGCAATTTTGCAAATTAAGTTTACTTGTTGTAATTAATATTTTAATTAAATATACTCATTAATAAACGCAACATGTGAAATCCTTCAAGTGACACAAAGACACACAAATTGAGTAGTTACCTTTATAAAACTTGTAATGAAACATCTACATCTTCTGCAATTACCAAAAAATAGTTTAAGCAACTCAAGACTTCTATTCTTTGAGTTACAAACTACTGAAATAGTAAAATTTCAATATTCTGTGCAGCTTTGCTATATACTGGCCTACAGTTTGAACTCATGATGAACACTAAGTCATGCAAAGATCCTCACTTCGTCATGGTTTGATTAGTTTAAATCCTTTACAGTTAAAGGCCACAGTACTCTGTCCATTGCCTCAATGAGACTAAATAAACTAATCTCTTATTTTTAGATGAAATAAATTAATATTTACTTTAATATATACCTTAAATCATATTTATACTTCTTACAATTAAAAAATTAATAAAACATTCCATTTGTCAAGCAGGGTGAATGAAAATTTAATATAATTTTCCCTTTACTTGAGCTGAGCCACTCAGTTCTTCACCACTAATTCCAATTAATTCCAGTAAGACATACTCTGCAAATGCCAGCAATATCGAGTGCATCCATCAGATATTATACTAAGATGACAAAATGAGTGCTTCACCCTTAAAACATTAAATTGTCTCCTACTTACCAGAAGTATCACTGAAGGTCAAAGAACATGTTAACAAATCTAACTACTTAAATATTTTCCTACTTTCAAAATCTGTGCATGAACTTACAAATATTTTCATATAATACAACATTAAAACTGTTTGCAACTGTTTGCAAAGAGTAAAAAACTCTTTTATTTCCACAAACTACATGAAAAGCAGCATAACTATAGAGCACACTGGTCAGATATTTTAGAAACTTTTATTTTGCTCTTTGTATTTAATATGTTTTGCATACTTTTAACTAGGTATGTTAGGGTTGATGAAAGAGGTGTGGTTTGGGGGCTACAATAGTCAGAAAAATTATGCAAAATTAAGTAATTAGTAAATTTATAATGTATTATTTAGATACTAGGAAAACCTCAAAGTATATTTCTTCATGCAAATACTAATGACTGAAGCTTATTAGTACCCTTTACTTCTGAATGACAGCAGCTACAGAGAAGGTTTTAAATAATACTATTACTCTCACATATTTTATTAATTCATGTTTTTCCTGTTCCTCAGCAGAAATAGTTACATACATTATATGCAGATACAGTCAATGACTGTGTCAAAGACAATGATACAGTCTCCCTGCAGTCCTGCCCTCAGTCTTTAACATTTGAGTCATAATATAATAGAAAAAATCCACATACTCAGTTTTATAGAATTGATCACTTGCACGATATCGATCACAGCTACTCTTTATAGGAGATTTCCCTTTAGGCCTGAAAATGGTTTTGGTTAGTTTAACAGTAAATTTTTAAATGTATTTCAATATAAGATATACTTTCTTCTTCAGTTTAATCATGTACACAAAGAAAGGTTAAGGTCATAAAAATAATGCATCATGCAACATATACTGTGAGGAAAAAAAAACCCAAACATAAAATATGAATCAAAAATAATGTATTATTAGGTAACTTTGGTGGGACTATTTAACACTGTCAGTTGAGAAAAAAACTTATGTATGTACAAACCCATTTTGACTTGTTAAAAAAAATAGATAATTAGATAATACTATCCATGTGGTTGCTGTACAAGACAAGGAATAGGAAAACTTAAACATTCAAAGCAAATCCAGAATTCTCACTATTTGTAGCTATTTGCATAAACATATAATAGAATAATTAAAATAATATAATTTCCTTTTTTTTTTTTAGAATGGAAGAAGTTGTAAGATGAGAGACAGTTAATATATAGAAGAATGTGTACAAATCAAAAAAAGTATTTACATACTTGAAAACTGAATGGAGAAGCCTGATTTGCTGATGAAGAAATCACTGTCAAATTGTAATGTTAATGAGTTGAAAGTGCTGTGAATATCCTCTGGAAGGGCTGAGCCACTCCATTCTTTCAGAAGTATGCTGCTCTCAACAGGCCCATCCCATACTTTCAAGATGTCATGAGCGACTTCAGTGTCAAAAACAATAAAATGCAGGCTGCAAAGAAAAAGTAAAAGTGCTGTATATTACTTATTAAACACAAAACTCCAAGCAATCATTCCCAAACTGTACTTAGGTTTGAGATGTTGTTTAGGTCTGAAGAAGGGCTAGTGGTCCTGCAGAGTTATTAATTTTTTCCTGTTCAATGAGCTGATCTTTTAAGAGAGACGCTAGTCTGTTTTATAAGTGCCTGAATTACAGATAACACTATTACAGGCCATATGGTACTTGATCTATAAATTAACTTATTTTTATGATGAATAAGTTTAATTTAAGTGATCAGTTACAACTATTTTCTACATAAACTGAATAATGCAATAGCTTACTATTTGTTAACTTTCTGCAAAAACCCTTTTTTTTTACGTAAATAGCTAATATTCTGAAGTAACACATTTACTGGAGATCACATACTTCTGTCCTGTCACTGGAGTATAAAACTAATCTCTGTTGCATGTCATTAAACATATTATTGACAATGAATTATTTTAAAATGAAAAAAAAGTTAAGATTATCTATCTTGATTAGAGTTAAATGGTTTTGTTACATTCTTGCTTTCACAGCAACTTCATGTTAAGAGTAAACAAACTAGCTTGAATAATTGGACAGTTTTTAAATCTGTTTTACTACAGCAAAACTCAGCTGAAAGAGTCTTAAAGTGTTGTTATTCCTTTCACTAAATAATGCACCAACCGCAAAGTATAATAATCTTGTCAGTATGTCAAACTGATGAGGAAAAACTGTTTTAAAAGTTCTTCTTTTATTACTAATTTCCTTCTGCCTGAGTTTTTGAATCCTTCCATTGTCTTTCCATAAATCATTATAGAAATAAAAGCTCTAGGATCCATCATTCAGTTCTTGGCATAAACATTTATTTCATGCATTAGTCACCAGATGTGTTTCCCTCATTTTCTGTGCTCTAATTCCTTCCATTTTCTGTTGTGCTGCTTAATCTATATGGACTAATCTTCTAGTCCTTATCTATGAAGCATTCTCTCAGTCCTGTACTCAATTCTTATTAAAATTTAATCATTTTTCTCAAATTTGATTATTCTCACTATCTTCTAAGATGTTGCTGGTCTTACTATTCAAATTATTATGGGGGAAAACTGATACTTACATAATTCAAAATATTACATATATTTATAATTATATGATGGAAGAGAACAGGAACGGAAAATGAAAATCTTTCAAAGTTGTATACAAAACTTGATAGCCCTAATCATCTCTGTTACTGCTGCTAATTCTCAATTCCTCATCCAATCAAAGCATTTGTGACAAAAAGACAGCTCCTAATAGAAACCTAACACCGTGCAAGATGCCTGATGTCTGAGCATTCCTGGCAGAGTCAGGCTGCTTGAGGTAATGTATTTAAGAAATAGTGTTGAATAACTACATTTGATTTTAAACAAATTATTATATTGATTGTGACAGTAAGTTACAAAAGAATTGCATTACAATGACTCAAGGGAAGAATTTTGTAACCACAGTTGACAGCTTGGCAATTTAGCTTGTTTACAGCTAGAAAAAGGCAAAGCATTGCACCACGCTACCACACTGAAGATTTATAGGCCATATTATCTAGCAGAATTCACAGTTCTAAATTAGATGGTGTCCCCTACACAATTTAGATACCCATGTTCCCTAGAGAAATGGCACTCATAAATGGCAGCATAACAAGCATCAACTTTATTAATGTAAGGAGGAGTTAATAAAAAATTGTGTAGAAGAGTATGTAAGGCATAGAGTATAATTTATAACATATTGAAGTCAACAATAAATATTGAAATTAAGCATGTACCTTATTGTCTTTCCTGGATCTGCTTCAATAATCCAAGTGCAATGAAGATTGTTGTCATATGGTGCTGGGTAACCAGGGGACAAAATACGCCCTGATGTAGCAGCATGAATTCGACCACCACACTCAGCTACAAAATAAGCAAGGATTACATTTATTTTTACAAGACCATAATATATCACACTTCCATTTTCTGTCCATTACACATCTGTCTTCTAAAAATGTATTGTAATGACATAATATCTCTGAAGCAGTACACATACGTACAAACCAGGGCATGTACACAAGTTAAACATGAACATATAATTATCTCCTTCCTACCTCGTTATAAAGCAATAAGCCATACTTCCATGATTATGTTATTTATCAATCAAAAGTAGTTCAATATGAACTGAGATAACAAAAGCACAATTTTAGTGTCAGCAAGAGAGTAAAAATGCATCAGAAATATTCCATCTAACATGTTTGGCTTTTCTAAGTAATACAGAATGCTCAAATTCAGAATTTACAGCACTGGTTTTTGTAACTAAAGTTGTTTTCTCTGTTGGTCTAATGAAAAAATGCATTTAGTTTAATGTTTTCAAGTTACTTCTATATAATTTCAAGTTTATTTACATCAAAAAGCAGTAAAATATTGCCTCGTAATTTCCTTTAGTATTTAAAAATTTACATGTTCTATGCCCACAAAGTGAGAACGTAAATCAGAAAGTTACGATTTTCAAGTATGCAGTGTCTGGTTTAAACCATTTTTATTATCAGTGCTATCTTAACTTTGTGGAGCAATCAATTGCAGTGATATGCATCCAGAATCGAACGATTCTTACGTTGCTTGTTTAGAGCATCATGTTGTTGTGTGGCCAGTATAAAGATGCACCATGATCAAACTGGAACTGTGTAACAGTCAGGTGCCACTGAACCAAAAGTATCAGCAACTCTTCAGTTAAGTGAATTCCTACTTCATTTACAGGGTTGCCTTACAAGTAATGGTATTAAAAAACACTACCATGGGGAAGTCTTCAAGCACAGTTGTACAACAAACATTGTGTAAGACGCAGACGATGAAAGAACCACGGCAGTTGGAACAAATAATCATCAGCAACACTCCTAACAGTAAGTCTTACATGCTGCCAAGTCACTGCTGACAACCAAATTGTTACCAGGAAGGAAAACCACTCTGGAGCAAACAAGGTGACTGATTTACTTACCTATCCTGCTGGTCTGGGCACTCAAAACACTATATATTATTTATAGAACCACAGCAGAAAGACTCTTCACAACATACTTTCTTCAAACATAACCTTTGCCTAAGATTTCAGCTAATTTTCATTATACAGGCAAGTTCTGAATGCAGTAACTGCTGTGATATATAATTACAAATTAAGAAATGACTGATACAGGACTGTACTTACCAAAGAATTCAGAATAATTCAGTAAAACCAGAATTATTTAAAGTCAAATATATTGACAGATTTCCTTTTGAATTCTGAGAAGATTCATTTAGAAACAGAATACATGATAAAATTTCAGATGATGCATTATACAGTTGTCATATATTTTTAAAAAAAATCCCTTTTAGGAGCAGATCAAAATTAAACTTTCAGAAGTGATTACACAAAAAAAATCTAAAAAGTTTGTTTTTCAGTATGCAGAAATAAGCATAATGTACAACCACAACCTCAAAGAATCTACCATATGAAGTAAATAATTATACTATAACTAATAGAAGTGACATATTCAAACAAGTTCTACAATCTTCTGGAGAAGGAAATACAAGAATTCATTGGTTTTCTTCATTAAAGCTTAGAACACGAAAAAATGGAAATAAATGCTTAGAGTAATATAGCAGTGTATCACTGAAAATGACTAGGTGTAGAATATGTGGAATATCTCTATGTTTGGGCTTGAATTTTTTGTGAACGAGATTTCAATGATTGTAAAGATGATGATGGATGTAAATGTCAGTGGAGAAAATATCAAATATCAAACAGTGATCTAAAACACAATAAATAAAAAAGCATAGATCTCCACAAACAGGAGGTTAAGAAAATGTGTCTAAGTAGAAAGTGGGAAGAGAAAAAACTGCTAGCCTAAGATAAAACTGAAGAAAGAAAAGAATCCAGAAATAACATTGTAGGAAAAAGAAGAGAGCAAGAAATAATCTGCAGATGCTTCACTGAGTTTTCAGGGATCTTCATGACAGGTTTTCCTGTGCATAGAACAGTAAAAAAAACAACAACAACAACAAAAAAAAAGACCTTAATGAAGGTAACAGACTGTTTGTGAGAGGCTGTTTAGAAAGATTCATCTTTAGAATATTTTCAGACAGAATAGTGAACATTTGACTTCTTGGGGAGCTAACGAATGTTTCAGAAGAGTTTTAAATTGAGAAACAGGAAGATAGACTTTATACAAAACTGATGCAGTCCCCAAATTTGGTTTTAAATATAGGAACAAGGACAGCAAATAAAAAGATATGTAAAGACATAAAGGTACATAGAAATAGAGCTTTGTGATTGAACACACAGAAAGCAAGAACAAAATCTGCCTTAGGATACTATATGAAATTTGACTATTCTATTGATATCAGGACATAATTCCACTTAGAGATGAATTGAAATCCTCACGAAATAAGAGATATTTCTACAAGTAATTAAAAAAAAAACCCAAACAAGCAAACAAAACCCATAAGCAGAATAAAGCTTGAAAGTATACAGTTATCAAGAATACAGGTAGAGGGAGTGGAGGGAGCATTACATAGTAGCGATGTAGTAAACCAAATAAACTCAGCATGAAAATACATACATATTGGTGAAAAATAATTTAGAGAAGAGTTATGAAAGATTTTCTACAGAAGCAAAAATGGGAATTCGATTTAGATTCACTTGATCCTGGGTTCCCTATCTTTCTCCAGGTCACATTTTTTACTTGTTGAGATGTTAACATCCTACATGTAGATTAGGGAACAAAACATCATACTAAGAAAGGAAATAGACAGATGGATTTATTCACCTAATAGACTTGAAAATAACAATTATTTTAGAATTGATTCAATTAGGTGACAGTGCACAAGAAAATATCACAGAAAATGACATTAGAGTAATGACTTAATTTAAATTAAATGGGAAGATAGGCAAAGGTAGGACTAATTATGGCTCTTCCCTACAAAAGGGCAAACTTAGATGAAAAGGAAGCTAGCCAATTAAACTGGAGAGCTTGAGGATTTGAATGTATAAAGAGCCTGGAAAAGTCTTTAAATCAAAACTGGAAAGAGTTGTTTTGAACTGTCATACATATAAGAAAATTTACAGATACAATTCTAGAATCAAGTAGGGTAAGTGCCAGTAAACCATCAGTGAACGGCATTTCTGCTGTCTTAATAGAGGTATCACTTGAAGACGTGATATTTAAAGACGAGGTCTACCTCAACTTTCTGACAGATGAGGTATCCTAGCATGACAACAATGACACAAGAGCACACAGATAAAACAATCCAGAAAATTAGAAATTAGCTTCATAGGAATGAGATGCTGAAATAATTTCTGATTAAAACAGATAAGATAAACATGAATGTAATAAAACACCAGACTGAAATCTTACATTGTCACAATCCATATTACCTATGCAAGTAGGCAAAGTTTTGTCCCAAACTCTTCGATCTCCACTTAGGCACGTCATAATACTACTACCATGCATTGTATAACCAGGATTACAACTGTATAAAATGACAGTGTCTATAAAATGTCCTTCATCGCGGATCTTGTAGCCATAATTTGGTATACCAGGATCTTCACACTTCACTAGGTCAAAACCTGAAATGAGAAATGGGAAGAGAAATAAAGATAAACAGGCATAGAGATATAAAATATCAAACAAAATAAAATGCCAATGAATTTGATCTTGATGCAAATTATATTCTCATCATTCAATTACATTACATGTATTCACAGTGACCAAAGACAAATTATATATAATTTGAGTAAATCAGAAACTGAAACACCAAGAACTAATTATTAATTCCATAACTGATTATGGCATTAGTTTATTGAAGAAAGCGTATCATCTACACTATCTTAAAAGAGATTAGTGAGCAATTTATTAATTTATACCACTTCCATTCTTCCATTCTTTTTTATTCAGAGGAAAGGAGGTATCAACCCTGTATTTGGCATTAAGTGGGAGCTTCACTTCTTCATCTAATCTCCACAACAAAGCCTGTAGACACAGTGATAACTCAGGGAATAAATGCAAAGGTTATTTCATCCATCCTAGTGTCAAGATAGGTGGCTTCAGTTTCTTTTCTGAAGAAATGAAGAAATTTTCCCACATTCATTTTCATTTAGCATTCCTCTTTTTGGCCTGTTAATATACTAAGTGGGATAAACAGCTCCTTCAGTGCTGCTTGGAATGAGCAGTTCTACCCTAAGCAGCTACAACTCTTTCCATATTTTACCCTTTTCTCTCTGCATTTTCTTCATATAGCATTGCTAAAATATAAAGACATATTCTTTTGCCTTGAGTTTAAGATCTTGGAGCAATATACAGAGTGATTCCCAATTAATCTTTCTCAACTCCATATTCTTACTGCCATGCCCTCAGGCCAAGAGAGTAATTCTCACTCTACAAAGGGTTTCCATTTTGCTACCTTATTTTACTGAACAGCTTCAATAAATGGTTCTGAGTCAGGCTGCTGGTCTTCCTTTCAATTGGTTGTTTTCAGTTCATTATCTACATGAGGTTTTCCAGAGAATTTGTTGATACCCCTTCACTGGAACTCTTCAAGGCCAAGTTGCATGAGGCTTTAGCATCCTGATCTAGTGGAAGGTATCTGTCCATGTGTGGAATAATTACTGGGGGTGACTTAAAGTAAACTTATATGAAAGGACTGGCATTGTTCACACATTAAGGACAGGCAGGATATTGAAGGGGTTTTCAGGGTGGAGTGCAGTTGCAGCTGGTATGCAAGAAATCCACTCCATGGTGGTTCCCTGAACAATACTGCCTGTACAGCAGCATGGAATGGAGTGAACATTCTGTGGCCAGGCTCTGTGAATCATCGCAGATATGGGAACTAAGTGGTGCTACAAAATGATAAGCCACGTATTTGCCACCCTAGGCCAACAATCTGTCAGTTTTTGACAAAATGCTGTCCTTTGTGTGAACTTCTGATTAATCTCATCCTATAGATACCTAAAATAGGTTGGATGAACTGTGCAGTTCTAAAAAGATCTATTTCTCTTTAATCACTACAAAAGCGCCAAGATGATTAGGTCATTCAGGTGAGTTGAGCTTCACAAGAAATAGCTATATTTCATTATTTTAATGTCCTTATTAAACATACAAAAACATTTCTTCTAAAATGCTGAAACTAAAAGTTTTTTCATAGATAATGTGATGATATGAGCCACAAGCATGAGCCAGTGTAACGATTTTTCTCTGCAAATTACTTTTAGATATTTCCCCATTCTTTAGTAGGTGCAAGATTTGGTTATCATTGGCAGTGGCATGTGATTGACAGATGAAACCTTCCTGATTAAAGAATGTACTTGTGTGTGGTGCAATAAACATTCCATAAGACTGATATATAGTTAGAAAGCTACATGAGAGATTCATTCTCCACTACCTTCTATTGCATAAAGAGGAAAAGATTGTCAGGAAGAGGTAATATCTTATAAGAGCATCAGATAAATTGGGGTGAAAGGAACTTTTGGACAAACATCTGTATAGCTATCTTCACTACAGATGATGTCAAGACTGTGATAAAACTATCATTCTGACTTGCCATCATTTCATGGAGTCCACTTAGCATTCAGTTTTGCACAAGTGTGTAAATAGATACGATGCAGCGTCAGAGAATCTTATCTCTTCTCTCCTTTTTGAAGTACTACTTCTGTAAGATGATGTGCCTATAAAGGTCACTAGACCTCCTCATTAATCAGAATAAGGGCTTCCTAAATGGTGCAAAACAAAGTTTAGTGTGTTTATCATTTTACAATCTGTTTGCAAAGTATACGTGGTGTATACACTATGTCATTCTCTCCTCATCCGCAATATTGATCCCTGAGGACTTCTGAAACATCACTCAAGTAAAGAGTAAAAGAGATGCAGCCACAAGGTTTAGAAGTTTGACAAAAGCATACCATAGCCTGCCTGCACTTTCTCTATTCTTGCTTTGAAATAGGACTGAGTAGCACAAAACATCTTTCTGTTTTTCCTTTAGGTTATTAATACTTCACATCGCTCTAGATTATTTACATATATATAGATATAGAGATACCATTATAGGTAGATTTACATTGGGTGTCAGGAAGAAATTCTTCATGAAGAAGGTAGTGAAGCACTGGAACAGGCTGCCCTGTTGCAGAAGCTGTGGATGCCCCATTCCTGGAAGTGTTCCAGGTCAGGTTGGATGGAGCTTTGAGCAACCAGGTCTTGTGGAGGGTGTCCCTGCCCATGGCAGCGGGGTTGGAACTAGATGATCTTTAAGGTCCCTTCCAACCCTAACCATTCCATGGTACCTTAAAGTATCCATTAACAGAGGTTTCACAACTCCTTTGCTTTGTAGGCTGCAACAAGTTCTCCAAAAGGAGCTACAGTACTATAAAAGTCACTCTCTACTGAAAGAGTTTTTTCTAAACATTTTTTCTGCAGAAAGAAATGAATTCATAATTCAGATTGAGATTTAGTATTTAGGAAGAGTCCAAAAAAAAAGTTTGGGTGTTTTTTTTTTTAATTTTATTTTAAGCTTAAAATACCTAACCCGTAAGATGATTTACTAGCCTTTGGCATTATTTTGACTAAGATAGTTTTAAAAATACCTCTGTTGTACTGCTAAATACGTAGTATGCGTATATCAGAGCATTCACATGTTAAAATATATTGATCGGCATTACAAAAGTTTGTACAGTTGTGTGTATGTTTATAAATAAATAAAATAATACTACTGAATAAATAAATATATGAAGTTTGCCTAGAACTTCTGTATATAACATAACATTCAATTAATATTGCAGTATGCCTGAACCGCCTAGCAAAACCCCTCAACCCAGTTTGAGCATATAAGATCAGGATAATAAGAAGCATGTAAGGCAGTAGATCCCGCTGATCTGTTAGCAACTTAAAAAACCTCAAACTGAGCATCTGGATCACCACAACCACATTGCTATACCAAATACTTATCACACTAGTCAGATCTGTTCTTATCTCAACTGTCTTGAGCCCCAGGTTGAGTGCCAAAAAGAACTGGCTATGGTTTAGCCTTATCTGGCAATTAAATACCACTCAGTTGCTCACCTACCTCCCCTTCTTCAGGAAGAGAGTTGGAGGGGAAAAAACCAAGGAAAACTTGTAAAAGTTGAGATAAGAACTATTTAATAAATGAAAATTATAGTGATACTAACAATACAAGTACTAATAAGTAATTAAACCAATAGAAAATAGAACATATAATATAGTAGCTCACCACACGCCAACCGACACACAACAAGGTCCCAAAATAGCAAACAGTCCCCAAGCCTAAGAGCTCCAAAGCAGGAAGAAAAGCCTCCCAACCCCCAAACTACTAACAAAAGAACCTGCTTCTCTGCTAACAACCATACCAAGAGCTAACAAAAGGAGCTAAGAACCCAGCTATCAGCTAGCCAAAACACTTAAGATCCTCCTACCCCCAGGCCAACTTCACGCCTTCCCAAACTGTGCATGTGCACCCCCAGCCTGACCACTGAGCCTGACATACCACACCATGGAACGTAACAAAACCTCTCAGCCACTGTGGGCCAGCCAGCTCTGTGTAGGAGAGGACCTATTTCCTGCCTGAAACCAGCACACTGTAACAGGAGAATAAATTAGTTAATTATTTACTGTCTCTTCTCCACATCAGGCTGGTCTAGATCAATCACATTAAATTTAATGATTTTGTCCATTTACTCTTTTAAAATAAATATCATAAAAGTATATAAAGTGTCTCTAAATCTAGCATAATTTTACAGTTATTTTTGGGCCACCGTTCTCCAAATGTGGAAAGACTTTTTCATCTGTCAATAGCACTATTTTAAGTTGAATTGCCTCCTTCTTCAAGAGCTTCATGCTACACACATACTGAGCCTCATTTCTCTACCTGTAAATGACAAAACAGCTCTGCAAGTTATAAGTAGGAAAAAACCAACTTTGGTGAAGACATGGTGAGTACACAGCTGTACATACAGAAATTTCTTAGCCTGTGCATGTGTCAGAAGATATAAGTGCCTTACAGAAATTTATGGCTTTTTAAAATCTTATTTTTGAGTCTCTGAGGGAGCATTTATATCAATAGAGGAGTTCAGATCAGTCTATTTGAAACTCAGACCTAATTAAATATTTATTTGGGCTGAAGTGTTAGATAAGCTAGTTTTAGAGAACATAACAACTTCCTGTCCTGGGTATCAGAATTCAATTTCCTATTTTACACACAATAGACAGAAAAAAAAAAAAAAAGAAAAAAAAAAAAGAACAAGAAAACTACATGCAAATAGATATCTAAATGGAAGCAAAAATATAAACCCTAAATTTAATTAGGTTTAACACCTAATATAATTGAGACACTAAACACTTCATTTGTTGTATTGTTTAGATTATTCAGATATTTCTATCTAAAGACCGCCTTGGAAAACTGATATTGAGTTTAACTTCCAATAATTATTACTAATTCAAGTCTTGTACATCTGTTGTAACTTGTCATAAAGGATCTGTTGTCATGAAATCTCATTGCTGAAATGTTGCAACAGAACTTCAGTGTAGATGTGAACTTTCACAGTGGGGAAATATGGTCATGAGT